CAACTCGCTTGGCCACATTGGCTGCATCCTGAAAAGAAATTTCGCTCCCTATCTCCTTAGCCATCTGCAATCTAATAGGTTGAGCGAGTTCCTCAATAAACCTCCTCACCCTCTCTCTTTCTCGGTTGGGATTATAAGAAGAACATGACGAGCCAAATCAACAAACCTAGTCTCGTACTGAGTGACAGTCATAGAATCCTGCTGAAGATGCTTGAACCGCCTGCGGTAGTCCTCTCTCTGAGTAACAGGAAGGAACTTCTTGAGAAACAGCTGAGAGAACTGGTCCCAAGTCAAGGCAGGCGACCCAGCTGGTCTACTCAACACAAAATCATTCCACCATCTCTTGGCGGACCCTATCATCTGGAATACAGCAAAGTCGACCCCATTGGTCTCTACTATCCCATGTTTCGCAGCACCTCATGGCAGCGGTCAGGATAATCCTGGGGATCCTCAGAAGCTGCCCCACTGTAATGAACCGGGAAAAGCTTGGTGAACTTATCTAACCTCAACAAAGCCTCAGAAGACATAGATGATCCACCAGCGGCTTGAGCCGCAACAACTGGCTGAGCTACTCCCACTGGCTGAGCTGCTGGAGTCTGGAACTGAGGAGCCATCTGCTCCGGAGTGTGGGTAGCGGGAGTCTGAGCTCCTCCCCCAGCCTGAGAGACGGTTGGTGCTACAGGGAATGTGCCAGTCTGAGCTACGCTCTCCATAAGGCCCACTAGGCGGACCAAAGCATCCTGAAGTACCGGGGTAGCGATGAACCCCTCTGGAACCTGAGCTGGCCCTACTGGAACGGTCGGGGCCAGAACCTCATCATCAAACTCCACCTGAGGATCCGCTGCTGGTCCTGCTGCTCAAGCTCTAGGCTGAGCCCTGCCCCTGCCTCGGCCTCTAGCACGGCCTCGTCTTCTTCCCCTCGTATGAGCTGCCACTTGGGGCTCGGGCTACTGATCGGCTGATGAAGCGGTACGTGTTCTCGCCATCTGCGAAAGAACAGAGTAGAAGTTCAATTAGCATTGAGAAATCGAATCGCACGACAGAGAAGAACAGAAGTGAAGTTATTTCTAAACTCTATAGCCTCTGGGGGATAAGCACCGACGTCTCCGTACCGATCCCTCAGACTCTACCAAGCTTGTCCGTGAATTGTGAGACCTAGGCAACCTAGTGCTCTGATACCAACTTATCACGACCTGGATTTCCCACCGTCGGGATCTTGATGTCGCCTAACTCTTAAATGTTAGGCAAGCCAACAGATACAGTCCTAACACGTTAATCATTAACCAAAACAGTAATTAGCAATAATTTAAACTAAGCAAATATGAAGTACGGAAATTTTATAACAATTTAAACACTAATACTTAACTACCCAAAAGATCTGGTGTCATAATTCACGAACTTCTAAGAATTTTCTACAAACACTGGTTTAAAAGAAATACATTTGTTCTCGAAATGAAAAGAGATAGGAAATCTAAGATAGAGGGAAGGGGACTCCAGGGTCTGCGAAAGGGAAGGGGACTCCAGGGTCTGCGAACGCCGGCAGATCTACCTTAGGTCTCCTGTGGACTGAAGGCAGCAACCCAAACTCTGATCAGTGCGGTCCAGTACTGGGATCTGCACAGAACGTGCAGAGTGCAGTATCAGTACAACCGACCCCATGTACTGGTAAGTGCCGAGCCTAACCTCGGCAAAGTAGTGACGAGGCAAGGACACGAAAAATAATATGAACCTGTGCAGTTAAATCGTATACGAAGAAATAATAATAACGGAAATTTAACAAATAATAACGAGAAGGGGGAGCATGCTGAGGGGAATATCAAATTCTGAAAATAATACGGTACAGAAACTTAGTAAATGTCATACTTGAACCAACGGAAATATTAACATAACAAACATGTGCACGGCATCACCCTTCGTGCTTTTACTCTCGTCCTCACCATAAGAAACAACAGAAACGGCACGACATCACCCTTCGTGCATTAACTCTCTCATAACATGGCACGACATCACCCTTCGTGCATTATCAATATCAGAATACGGCACAACATCACCCTTCGTGCATTAACACTCACTCGCAAAATATTGCACGGCATCACCCTTCGTGTTTTACACTCTTCCTCACCTAAACAACAGAAACAATAACAACTCGGCAAGGGAATCATAAATAAATAATCTCGTTTCATCATTTAACTTCACAATATAAATCTCAACTTGAGTTAATACTCAACCAATATCCAAAACAAGGAAAAACATAATAAGACTTATTTAACATGAAGATTTAACCAAGTTAAAGCATGGATAGTACGTATAAAGGTTTACAACAGTCACAAGTATAAGGTTCACTTGCATTCTATGACCCGAAACCAACGTATAGATGCTCGTCACCTCACCTATACTTCGTAATCAACAACTAAACAAGTAGCAAATAAGGCAACAACACCTAATCCCTCAAGCTAAGGTTAGCCACAACACTTACCTCGATTCCACGACCAAACTCAAGACTCAAATACCGTTTTTCCTTTAGATTCCACCTCCAATCCGCTCGTATCCAATCATAATTAACTTAATAATATCAATTATCGCTAAATAAATTATTTCCAATGTGTAATCACAAGTTTCCAATCGACCCCGGGCCTGCTTGGTCAAAACTCGAAGTTCGGACCAAGACCCATTTACCCAATCACTCACGAGCCCAAATATGTAATTAGTTTCAGAATCCGACCCCAAACCGAGGTCTAAATTCCCAAATTTGCAAAATTCCCAATTTTTCCCAAAATCCATAATTCTACCATGAAAGAACAAGATTTAGGGCTAGAAATCTAATGGGTGTCGATGGAAATTGAAGGAAAAGAGTTGAAGAACACAAACTTACGAATTGGTGTTGAAATCCCTCTTCAAAATCGCTCCTAGGTCGAGTTTTTATGAAAGAGTTATGAGTTTTTGAAAGAATCCCGATTCTGGTTCTGTTTTTAAAACACTGGACATGCCTTCTTCACGTTTCGCGAAGGGCCTGTCGCGTTAGCGAAGCATTGCGGCCAGAAGGGCCTTCGCGTTCGCAAAGAGTTGCTCTCGTTCGCGATGGTCTTTCCCCCCTGACCATCGCGTTCGTGGGCCTTGGACCGCGTTTGCGAAGAACAACTTAGAGATTCCCCAGCCCACCTCCTTTTTAGCCTACGCGTTCGCGATATGCCGGTCGCGTTCGCGAAGAGCAGCCCCCCAGTGCTCCGCGTTCGCAAAGAACAATTCCCTCCCCAGTCCAGGTTGCACTTCGCGTTCACGAGAGTTACTTCACGAGCGCGAAGCACAAGGTACCAACATACCAGAAGCAGCAACACATTAGATTTTTCTAAGTCCAAAACATCCCGAAGCCTATCCGAAACTCACCGAACCCTCGGGGCTCCAAACCAAACATGCACACATGTCTAAAAAATATTATACGGACTTGCTTATGCGATCAAATCGCTAAAAGAACACCTAAAACTATGGATTTAGCATCAAAATCAATGAAATTCTCAAGAACACTTAAAGTTTCTATTTTCTCAACCGAGTGTCCAAATCACGTCATATAAAATCCGTTCCTCACCAAATTTCACATACATGACTTAAATACCATATTAAACCTGTACCGGACTCCGGAACCAAAATACAAGCCCGATACTAACAAGATCAAATATTATTCAATTTCTTATAATCATTATATTTTCTATTTACTAATTTTCTTCAAAAACTCATTTCTCGGGTTAGGGACCTCGGAATTCAATTCCGGGCATACGCCCATGTCCCGTAATTTACTACGGATCCTCCGGGACCGTCAAAATACGGGTCCGGGTCCGTTTACTAAAAATGTTGACCGAAGTCAACTTAAATCAATTTTAAAGGCAAAACTTAATATTTTCTCAAATTTTCACATAAAGGCTTTCCGGAAACGCGCCCAGATTACGCATGCAAATTGAGGAGAAAATGAGGTTTTGAAGGCCTCGGAACCCCGAATTGGGTTCTAAAATACGAGATGACCTTTTGGGTCATCACATACGATACAATATGAAACAATACATAACAACTATCCAAACAAGCTGTAAATAATTTAATACCATAACTCTACATGCTATGCTATTTTGTAAAACAAATGTTAAAATAACTACTATAATAAGATAAACCTTTACATCAAACGAATATTATCGGGGAAAATGATTCAAGAAAATAGAGGATTAATTAAAAAATAATTAAAAAACAATTAAAAAAGGAAAATGAAAGACCGCCCTTTCGTTTCCCAAGAACTAGTGTCCTTTTATACTCTAGATTGCTGTGGTTTGCTTTTCCTTTGCTGTTAAGAAGGCAAGTGAGTTAACTTGAGTTGCTAAGAAAATAGAGAAAGACAAAAAGAAAGTTTGATCATTCCTTTGAGTATCTCTTCTTTGATATATAGTGGTTTGTACTGGAATGCATATTCTTGAGATTGATTTCTCTTTTCCTTTATTGCTTTTCTCTTTTGTTTTTCCCTTCAATTCATGAACTTCTCTTTTGTATTTTGTGGTCATTGTATATTATTTATCTCATCTACGGGTCACGAGTTCGAACCGTAAAAATAACTACTAATCAGGTGTAAGCACCTTGCTTGAAGCGGTGTCACGTGACATCTTTTCGTCGAAATTTTTCCTAATCTTTATTTATAAATAATAAATAAATTAAAATATTAGATATAAATATAAACAATAACACCTCTTCCCATTACAATAATTTATTCATTTGTTCACTTCCTTCAATATTGATGCCGTTTACGAAAATTTCTATATACGCTATTGTACTAATGCTTGTATTAGGAAAGATTGTCTATGTCACACCTTTTAGTTGCGGCCCTTCCCTGATCCTACGTGGATGCGAGATGCTCTGGCCTGTTCTCTTTTCTGTGTATGGTTTGCATGTAGCAGTTTTGACAGTAATATTGATGTGGGGTTTTGTTTTCAGGTTTGTTTGAGAAGATTTGAGTGATTCCTTATTAGGATGGGAGGGAGTTCTTCTATGGAGAAGAAGAAGAGAGAATGGCCTAAAGATGATTTCATTGATTTGATATTCAAATGGTCTATTAAAGATATTCTTAATGAGACTCTATATGAAAATCAGGTACTGTACTTTTTCATTAATGCTTTACCATCTTTCTTTTTGTTTACTTATTTTAATTTGGTATATAAGATGAGTACTACAGAAGAGTTTATCTCTTTAATTGAAGAATAAAATGCTTGTAATAATTCTTTTTTATAGAGTTTAAGTTTTATACACAATCAATATAAACAAATTTTATTCTATAAT